CTACTATTTTAAAATGTTGCCATAAAATCAATTTTAACAAGTCTTGAAGGACTTGAAACACATTGTATCCAAAAAAAAGTAAATAATTTTATACTTATCTCATCATTCAATAATCTTTAATTTGAAAAAGTTATTTCAAAATCCACTTTTATATTTAGGAAGTGTATTGAATTAGGACTTCAATGAGTTTTAAAAGATTTTTTTATATTATAAAAGTATCTTGTGTAGGGGTGGCAAAACGGGCCAGCCCGCCCCGTTTTGGCCCGCCCCGCCAATGGCCCGCCAAAAATGGGCCAGGCCGGGCTGGCCTGCCAAGGAAAAACTGGCTGAAAATATTGGCCCGCCCCGTCTAAGGATGGGTTGGCGGGCCGGCGGGCTGGCCCGTATACTCAAAAAATATTTTGTAAAAAAATGAAAAAAAAAAATATTTTATTTTAAATAAAAAAAATAGAAAAAAATTATAAAAAAAGGAATCATTGCTTGTTACCATAAGTACCAGGAGGCACACATAACATAAGCACTTGTGCAGTGGCCCGCATTCTACAGTTAATTTTATGCATTCACCAACATGTACCAATATTAATTTCATTTACTTAAGAAAAATGTTAAAAATGACAACTAGTGAATTGATTTAGGTTTTGGCTGTGGCTGGAAATGGGCTCTATTGGGCCTAATTTTTTTTATTAAGCCTATTATTTATACTAGCCCAATCACTAAATCAATAAATTACCTATGCGGGCTTGGCGGGTTGGGACGGGCCAGCCCGCTATTTGGCCTGCCGGGTTGGCGGGCTTGGCGGGGCGGGTTTGGCGGGTTGGCGGGGTGGGTTTGGCGGGTTGGCGGGCTGAAATGCTGGGCCCGGCCTGCCAATTTTTGGCCCGGGCCCGCGAGCCACGACCCATTTTGCCATCCTTAATCTTGTGATATTCAATTAAGACTTTTTTTTAGTATAAAAAATTCATGTGATATTCGATTAAGAAAATCATGTTTTTTTATGAGTATATCAAAATTTGGTAATATTCAATTAAGACAATCATATTTTTTTAGGAGTTTATTAAAATCTGATTGTATTTAATTAAGATTTTTTTTTCACTTAAATTTTTTTTATTGATATTTAAAAAATAAATATTTCAATGGGTTATTTTTTGAATAATAGATATTGTGAAACTTTTTAGTAGAATTTACATATAATTTATTCATTAAATAATCTCACAAAGTTTTTTGGGATTTCATATGACTTTTTTTTTTTTTTTTTCATTATTTCTCCTCTTTCTTTCTTCCTTCTCTTGAATCTTCTCTCTCACCTTTCTTACTTCTCTCTCTTTCTCATGCTTATCTCTTATTCTCCTTTTCTCTTTCTTTCTCTCTATCCTTTCTTGCTTCTCCCCTCTCTCTCTCTCTCTCCTATTCTCTTCTATTTCATTTTCTCTTTCTCTTTTTTATTTATCTCATTTATCATTTCTAATATTTTGTAGATCAAGGTAATGACCATCAAAATGAAAATAAAGTGTTTAATTCACGTCATGCATCCTTAAAAAATGGGATCAAGAGAATATTTTATATTTTAAAATCATGTTTCACAATTTTTAAATCAATGTCTATTTCTTATTAAGTAGCACTACATAATTTTCTTCGCAAATCGTTCAGATGAATTTTTAATTGAATCGGTAGATAAATCTTCATCTTTAGTACTACCTATTAATAAAAATCATAATTTTGAACATATTGTTCAAACTTAAGAGTATGAAAAAGAATATATCAAAGTACAAAAGACTAATATAACTTTATATGAGTGGAGAAATTTAGTTAGAAGGACATTAGAGACAATTATTTGTCAAAAGATAGAAAAATTTGTGTTAATTTTATTTTTCTTTATTACTTATGATATTTTCTTTTATTAATTCTTGTAGCAGTAAATGTGTTTTACAAATCCATATTTTCTTGTAAAATTCATAAAATCTTATGATACAAATCCATGAAAATCTGTTAAAATTCATTAAAATATGAACTATAAAGTCTTAATTAAAATTCATGTTTTAAAAGCTTTTTAAAAAAAATCTTAAAAGTCACAACATTTCTTCCAAATCTTTTTAAAATCCACAAAACTTTTTCATACTAAAATAGTCTTTCAAAATCACAATTTAATTCACTCCCTTAAAGTTTCTTTCACAAAGATTTACAAATTTTTATGTTAATTCAAAATCATTTTATATACCATTAATCTATATTTATTTTTATCTATTATATCATTAATCTATATAAAAATAACTTGATATATTTTGACATATATAATTATAATTATTGATATTGTAATGATATTGGTATAAGTTTTTTTTTTTTGACAAAAATAAACTTAACTGATATCATTGATAATATGTTGTGCAACATATCGGTATAAGTTATATAGTTTGATCTACAAGCACTGTATTGACGCACGTAGGATTCTCTATTCCTTTGTTTTGTAGGTTGAAGTTTACTTTTCTGATGGTTTTGTTCTTTCAGAGATCGGTCAAAATGGCCAAACCAACTCGTTAACCACTATACGGGTGAAAAAACAATTTGAAAATATTAAAGGTTACAGATAGCATAATTTACACCATTTCATTTATGATAATGCTGCCTTACATTTAATACTTTCCTACACAGACTTACTTGAAATTCAAATGTTCAATACATACTGAACAGCAAAGTAAAAGAAAGTTTCGCTCAAACAAAGAAGCAATTCAAACATCTCTAGAAGCCATTAGCCTATATATATACATTGTATATTTAATTTGAATTGTGTTTCCATACTTTTCTAAGGTATGGTAATGCAAATACAACTTTATGATCACCGGCGGCCTGAGTACAATTAAGGTGGATGACCGGCTAGGGTCTCATTTTTAGAGGGGTGTTAAATTATTTTTTAATTTATATAAATAAAATAAAATTTACATAATTAAATTATATAAAAAATTATTATAAAAATAAATTAATCAACAACAATGAATCAATTGATATGTGATGTTTCTATTTCTTAATAAAAATCTACTTGTAATTTTAGAAAAATAGATATAAAGAGAAGAGTGTGATATATAATATAATATATTATTAACTTATTTCCTTTAATTTCTCTTATCCTTAATAAATAAGGATTGCCTTTATACATAGAGAAAGAAAGAAAGATGAGAAATTTATTTACTCCAGGAGTAAGTCTACCTAGACTTACTTCACTCAATAACTCTATAAACTTTTTTAAAAAATTAGAAACTATTTAATACTTTGTCTTATTAATTCAAATCAATGTATACAATATTTTTATGATTATTTGTTAATTTAAATTAATGAAATGAAGTATCAAATATTTTTCAAATTTTTAAAAAATTTACAAACTTGATCTATGCATTAAATACTTTTAACAATTAAATTATTAAAATTTGATGTAAAATATGAATTATTGAGTGAAGTAAGTGTAAGTAGACTTCGTTCTATACCAAATTTTAACAATTCAACTATTAAATTAAAAGTTCTTAATGTATAAATCAAATTTATAAATTTTTAAGAATTTTAAAAATTATTTAAGACTTCGTTATATAAATTCAAATTGACAGATAATTTGTTAAAATTTGATGTAGAATATAAGTTATTGAATAAAATAAGTATAAGTAAACTCTTACTCTTGAAGTAATTGGATTCTTTTATATATATATA